ATACCAATTGTTATAACCCTTGGGTAGAACTCATCCCCAAAAGCTAGCTTGTAGGGAGAGGGTGCCCAAGTGGTTATAAATGTTAAGCCCATACTTTAGCAATGTGAGACTCAACCAGGATCCTAACATAGTCCAACATATGTTTCGAAATCTTTTTCATCTGTCAATTACCTAGACCTTGAAATGAATGTAAACAGAGAACTTAATCAAATATGCTAACTTTATTTCCGAGTTTCGCTTGCTTCTTATGTTTATGTTGTGTATTAATAGACAGCTCTTGCTCTTGGTAGTCTTCCTGGATTTTTTGTAAAAATTTCTATCTAAAACAGTTAGCACTATGACTTCGAAAAATGTGGTTAATATGGTAAATGAATGATATCATCGTGCACTATGTGTGTGGCTCTTTCATCATGTGTAATAACAGCAATCAGCAAATTTCTTTTATTTTGCTCTGTCAAAGTATGATTTGAGATCCTTAATTGCTTAGGTATGAAGTTGATACAGATGCATTTTTGTCTGTGCTAGCTCTTCAACCAATTCCAAAGATGGAATCTGTCCCTACTATTGTTGAGGTATGCCACTTTAAGTAGTTCTTTTATATAACAGTGCTACTTTCCAAAAGAAATAATTTAAACTATGCTCTTAAAATGCAGGTCTCAAGTCCGAATACATGTGATCTCTTAAAGTCAATCTCTGGGTTAAAAGTCGAACCAGTAGAAAATGTTGCATCAAAACTGTTTGTTCAATGCTCTCGTCAAAAGGGTCTCATAAAGATCTACAGACACTTACTCAACTATCAAAGTATTGCGCAGACCCCCACTTGAAAGAAAAATTTGTATTTGAAATAATTTTACTGGCTACCACCTCCTATCATTAAAATGCTTTATCAATTTCTAGGATATATTATCCAGTGGTCCGAAAAAATGACAATACTTTGATCTCCGAAACAAGAATACAGATTAATCAAAGTTTCTATTCATTGCAGAAAATGTCTTTAATCTCTGCAATTTTCCTAACCTAGCGGGAATAAGATATGGACAGTTACGACGTGGTTTCCAAGAGGTAAGACCATCTGAAAAGTGTAGTTTTGCTAGTAAAGTGGTTAGATGCAGTTCTTATACAATTAACATCTGATTGGATATCCTTCCAGGTAGTTGTATGTGGGCTCCATCGGGATGGCAAGATATACTTCCATCCATATGATGATGAGATCTTACAACAGACTGACAAAGTATGTTGATTCCTTAGCATACCTCAACTTATTTATTGTTCTTCCTTTCATGATCTATGAGAATTTGAACTGTTTACTCATTCTCGTTTTAGATAAAATATTTATTTATTTATTTTTTTCCAGAATTTGATGTCTGACTGAATCTTTTTTGTAGTTTGAACTCCATCTTTAAGAACCAAATAGCTTAAAGATGAGTTAATACTAGTGTTTTATACGCTTCATCTGTTCACTTTGCTCGTGCAGATATTATTCATTGCACCTGTTCACCGAGGTAGGAAACCACAGGTTGCCTATCCAAAGATTGATGAAGAAACTAGTAACTCTGCTCAGAAGTTGGAAGTTACAGAAAGAGACGGTCAAAATTCAGATCGTGCTTTGGAACTAAGGAAATTCCGACTTGATAGTATAGTAAAACGTCCTGCCAGATCAGGTTCCAAGGTACATGTTTCTGAAGCTGTACCTTCTAAAATCACAGTACGACTTGGAAAGATTTGGCTCATTTTCTTCTCTCCTTTTCATGTGAACGTAGGCTTCAAACTGGACTGTAGGACCAAAAGAATTTATACTTTTGCTCGGTTGGCGCCCGGATGTTGTGCAAATGATTGAAGAATACGATAATTATCTTGGACCTGGCAGTGTAGTGGTAAAAATTTATGAACTTATGTTCTTTCAAGAGTTGTCATGCAGGGTCTTCTCTATGCTTTGAGACAACTGTTAAGTAGTTGATATTTTAAAGGAAGATTAAGCATTCTCGATTATTGCTGCAGTATGTTTGATTAGACATAATTTTTTATAAGGATTGATTTGTATTAGTTTGAATTGCATTATGTTGTTGTGGAACATGGTCCTTTATACTGCAAACTTCAGTTGATGTTAATACAAATAAATGATGCTATGAATGCATTTAGCTCTGGTTTATAAAGTGTGGTGTACCCTTATAATGCAGGAAATATTATCAGAAGCAACTTTAGATGACAGGAATAGAGCTAGCAAAGTTTCTGGTCAAGGGAAACTAAAAAATATTCAAGTTTCTCATAGGGTAACACCTTCCCAAATAGATATTCATTTTAGTTTTTCATTGTTATAAATTCAACTTGCTCTGCTAAATATTTTTTTTTTCTTTTTGGTTGGTGTACTCTGTAGATTGGAAATCCCATGAACTATGACACTCTTCAGGATACCATAATGAATACTCAAAATTCTTTGAAGAGGGGCAAAAATATTCCCTTATCCATTGTTGTCATATCTGATAGAGAATGGCTTCTTGGAGGTGGCATTACTTGATATTCTGCAAATCTGCCCTTCGAACTTGCTTTTATGATGTTTCATTTAGCTTGAAGTAGCATCGTATTAACTAACCTTTCTTCAGATCCTTCCAGGGCAGACAAACATGCTGCATATTCTCTTCTTCTTGCGGAAAATATCTGCAATAAACATGGAGTGAAGGTAAGTATCCTTCAATTGATTTTTTAGGGGAGAAAAAAAAATCAATGCTTTTAGATTTCGTATTAAAATTCGTATTAAATTTTGTTTTTGTTTCCCGTGGAGAGAAGAAAGTTAGGTAACAAAGGATTTGTCTTTCAGGTGCAAAATCTAGTTGCGGAGATTGTGAACTCGAAACTGGGAAAACAAGTACTACTTCCTTTTGCATGTCTGATTTTCTATTTGAAATGTTTGCGATTTTATGCGGGTATTTTGCGATATTGGTAAACTTATCACTGCCATAAAAATGGGTACAGATTACAAGAATTAAGCCGTCCCTTACTTACATCGCAGCAGAAGAAGTAATGAGCCTTGTAACAGCTCAAGGTCTTGATTCAGTATACTTTTACCTGTGGTTGAACATTTAAATAGTTTTTCATTTCATTTTTGTCTTTTGAATATGTGCGTAATGGACAGTTCCCTGTTTGTACATACAGTTGCTGAAAACAGTGAACTGAATGAAGTGTGGAAAGACATTCTAAATGCAGAAGGTGATGAAATCTATGTCAAGGTAACCGCCGGTTCTCTAGTTTTCCTACATTCTCCATGTAACGCGTATTTGGTTCGTTTGGTTCATGGGTTCAAATCAATGATTTTGATTCTGAATTCAAATTTTGTGAGAGAACCCATTGACAGGAAACTTTTTTATTCAATTTTTTTGTGAGAGAGCAGAATCAAAATCACGAGTTCAAATCAGTGAACCAAACGGGCAAAGCATCTCCATTTAAGTTCACCAACCACAAAGTTTGCCTACTTTACTTATGACAGGATATTAGCCTCTACATGAAAAAAGGAGAGAATCCATCATTCTCCGAGCTTGCCGAAAGAGCGCATCTACGACGAGAAGTTGCCATAGGCTACGTGAAAAACAACAAAAAGGTAGTCGATATTTTGGATTTTAATTCCATGTCCAGAATTGTCTCGACATTTGCTTAACAAGTTTAGTTTGCATTGCTCGCAGGTTATTAATCCAGTTCCGAAGTCAGAACCCCTCTCCCTTGAAATAACGGATTCACTAATCGTGATATCTGAGCTCGAAGGAGAACAACCGATTATTTTGTCTAGAGCATACCCCTAACCTTGCTCTGTTCCCTTCTGCAAAAGGGCATCAAATTTTGTTTACACAAATTGATGCTGATACGGTCTTGTCCAAGGTCATTAATGAAGGAAAGACGAGAAGTTTTGAAGATGATGAAGTTTTTTAATACCCTTGTAGTACAAACAAATTATTTCAGACTTAAAAAACTATTAGCATCCACGTTATTGTAAGATTAATTTAAGCACCATAATTTTTATTGTTATTATTTTTGAAATTTGTTGATGTCAGGATGTACTCTCCAGGAGAACTCTTGGGTTTAGTTAGAAAAGCTTTTGAATTAGATTAGTTTGATGAATAAGACCTTAGTTTAGTTGAAAAGCTTTTAAATTCGTTTACTTTGATAAACATTGACATTCTTTTTTTCGAATTTCCCATTCCTTGTAAAAAGAATAAACAAATTTGCATTTGTTCAATTGTAAAGTATGATTAATTGTAGATTATTGAAAAAAAAACTAATGATTAAATGTTCTTGCTGTATATTCCTTTTGCTAATTTGAGCTATCCATATTTTTCTTTTCATTTTTCATTTTTATTTTAATTTAAAGATTACAGGTATATCTAAACGTTTGGTTTATAGATTTAGAATCATTCTCAGTTTACGTGTTTTTCTGTGAGAAAAAATACTGTAACGAATTACGAATCATAATTCAAATCATGACACGAATCTTCATATCAAACACTCAATAAATTAACAGGTTAGGACCCATATGTAGCTTTTGCTGGTGGAAAATTATAAAAAAGAGAGAACCAAAAAATGATTGTTTCATTTTATTTACCTTCTTACTTTGATGCTACGCTATAGGATATCCATTATTCTTTTCGTCCTGCCAAAGTACAAAATAATTAACAATAATCTTCGTCTATCTTACGCAACAAATACGTTTCTTTCATTTTCTTGCATAAAAAAAAAAAACTTTTCTTTTCTTGCCAACAGGGTCTGTTCAAACACATATTTTATTTTCATGAATGAAATATTGTATTACTCTTCCTTACAATTTTATTATCGTTATTTGTTTGTTCCTTTGATGATTTACTTGTGATCATACATGCGACTAAAACACTGGTTTTCAATTTTTCATAGTTGATCTGTAAATTAGAGATAATTAAAACCACTGCGTTAATATTGATAAAATTTTTTTTATAAAAAAACGATATTTTCTTAATTTTTTAAAACCCCGTCATTTACCCCAAAATCCTTTTTTTTCTTTTGGAAACTTTTTTTTTAGGGGATCTTCTGCTATTCTTTTTTTTTTTTTTTTTTCCTTTCTTTCTTTAGAACAAAAATCAAGAAAACTTCAAGAATTATTTAAAAAAAAAAGGAAGAACATAAGTGGGACCTCTTTATGAGCATCCGATCTGGCATCTATCCAAGCCGACGTGGCAAAAGTTAGGGTAAGAAAGAAAGAAAAGAGGGGGCCAAAAAAAAAAAAAAAACGATGAAAAACCAAAACGCAGAGAAGAGGAAGAAGAAGTAGGGCGGTGAAAAAGAGAGCATCGTTTCGGACCAAAAACCATCGTTCCTAAACAAGCATAACCCTTTCCTTTTCCCTTATCTAGGGCAAACCAAGAAGACGTCATAACTATTCCCTCGCCGGAAGTTGGAGCAGCCAATCCATGGCTCACGGTGGCTACGGCAAGCGCCGGGTGAAGCCCGCCGGCCGCCGATCCAAGTCCCTGGCGGCCGAAAAGAAGCCCAAGGCCGTCTCTCTCAAGAACCAGATTCGCTCCGTCGAGCGTATGCTTCGGAAGGTAAAATTCCACTAATTTCCCACTCACCTGGTTTGTTCGTTTGTATATTTCAGTTCTCTCCTCTTTTGCTGTGTGGTTATTAATGGCAGTTTGATTGTTAGGTTAGGGTTTTCGGCGCCTAGTTATTTGCTTTTCGTTGTAGATTATATTCGACTTTTGTCTTTAGCTCTTGTTATCAATGCGGTGAAGGGGAATTTTTGGGTTCTGAGAAGGCTTTGGAGCCACTTTTTCAGCTATATAGTCAAGTTTGGAACTTCTTGCTCCTTAGTAGAGATTATAATAGAGATTAAATTAATGATTGCTTGAATAAAATCTTAAGCTTGTTTAGTTCGGATTTCTTAAGGCGACATCCGGTCCTCTGCCCCAATAGCCAAAAGAAAATCTGATCACATAGCCGGGCTCTGCTGAGAATAGAAATTGGAACTCCTTACTGGAATCAGTGTTTTTTACTTTAATAATCCAACTGGTGTAATTAGAACACTTTACTTCACTTCGATTTGCTCTGTCCCTGTCTTTTTGAAAGAGCTCTGGTTTTCTCTTGGTGCGAGGGTCCGATTTTGAACCTGCCGCTATGGCGCCAGC